TACTTACTACTCTCTCTCTCTCTCTCTCTCTCTCTCTCTCTCTCTCTCTCTCTCTCTCTCTCTCTCTCTCCCCTCTCTATCTATCTGTCTATCTATCTATCTACCTATCTATCTATCTATCTATCTACCTATCTATCTATCTATCTATCTATCTATTTATCTATCTATCTATCTATCTCTTTCTCTCATTCTCCCTCTCTCTTTCTCTCTATTTCTCTCTCGTTTCCGCGACGTTTACCTTCTATGGATATGGGAGAATCAAGTTAACAGCCCGCCGTAACTTCAGGGTAATGCATTTTTTATCGCGCGCATTTTTCTATAATCACCAGTAGTCCACAAGTTTTCCTCCTCGGAAGGTCACGAAATCGTTCGTACTTATTCGAAAGAACGAGAAGAATATCGAAAGGAAGAGAAAATGGGAGATCGCATCATTTTCTCGAGCATTATTATTAAGGGTTACTTCGATTCGTTCGCTTTCACCGCACTTTTACGACTTACCGATGGACAGGGATCTTCGCCACTTTCTGGTGCGTCATCCCCATGGCGGATATTGAGCTACTGCCAGCGAGAACACACCAAAGATCGAACATGCGTCGAAGCCAACTACTAATCTGACGATCACCAAAGAATGACACTCGATCGACATAAATCACACGCATACGCACACACGATTACGCATACACACGCACATACACATATATATGTGTACAGAGACACACGCACACATATACCCACGCTGACGCAAAAAGCGTGTACGCTCGTGTAGAATCTAGTCATTGTCACGCGATCGTGGAGAAAAAAGGCCTAAGCATGAGAAAAAAAAATATATCCTCGAACTCGCGCGAAAAGTCGAAGTTGTCGCATCGAAATTGGACTGTCATCGTTAATACGTTAATGGGAGCGATGAAGGAGAAGAAGCGCGAAGAGAGAAAGAGAGAGAAAAAGAGAAATTTAACGGAAGCGGCGTTCGACGAAAAGCGGTGAGGCGTCGCGGTGTGGATACATCTTTTAACACACTAATTTATAAGTATATAATTATGAGATAGGATTTAAAATAAAATAAATTCAAATAAAGTAAAAGAAAGAGATACGACGTGATGACTCGTCGTATGTTTGTGAGCGGTGCACGATCGAAAAGCCAGCATCATTCGCGCCGCGGCGCCCGCTTGCTATCAGTTGCTATTTCTTCTCGGCCGCGATGCGCTTCGACTCGAACGATCTACTTCGTCTTCGGATTTATCTTCTGCTTACAAAAGTGTTGCAGAGAATATTCCCTGCGATATTTTTATATCTGAGATCCATTGCGCATCGTACTGCGCTTGGTACGGTTATAAGTGCTGAGGAATGATCGTTACAATGATCGTTACAGAATATTACATTACAATACGAAGAAATGTGGAAAAAGATGGGACTAATGTTAAACGCAAAGCTTAATAATAATATCTAGTTTTAAATAAAGTAATATCTCGAAGAAACTCCTCGGCATTTATATCTACCTCGGACGCGCAAAACTCACGTAATGAATGTCAGATGTAAATTTGCCACCATTGTTGACATCTCGTCTCACGTCGTGAGACCGATCTTTGCGATCGCGAGATCGACGTTCGGCCGAGGTCGCGACGGCGTATCGCAAGCTCAAGAGACTCATGTTACACTTATGTACTTAACTCTTTTTATTTTTCCTCTCGCGAAACAATATACTCTCAGGAAAACTCGCTGAAGCGCATCGGCAAACGACGGACGGTAATATTTGCCGCACTATGACCAGAAAAGCGATAATCTTTCGAGCGCATCGCGGCGCGTCCGCGCGATCTACATTTGCGACATAGATCGGTATATACGTCGCGACAAATAGACATGTCAAAGCAAATACATGCCACGTAACAAAAAAAAAAGGCGCACCTACACTCCCGAAGATCATCGTAATCGGGAGACGTGAAGCGATATATGAGCGCGCATCTCTCTAGTCAAATCGAAGTCGTTTGGTATCGTCGCGAGCGGATAGCACAAGCGACAACACTCGCACAGTCAGTCACGTTTGGCTACTGCCCTGTAGATAATATATAGATAGGTATAATGAACGAAGAGAATTAATGATTATAAATATAAATATATAAATATATATATATATATATATATATATATAAATATAAAGAGAGAAAAAAATATATATATAAATATACAGAAAAATATGTACTATGTTCCACATAGGTGCCGAATGCGAGCATGCCGAGTATGAGAGAATGCGAGAGATTGATGCGTGACTCTTTTTAATCTTCGATTTTTTGTTCGACGCGAGGACAGCCCCGTCCGCCGCGACCGAAAACGAAAGATGACGGTACCTAGTGGAGATCTTAATTCTGGCATCTGCCATGCTCACGTGACACCGATACGGAAGACGAAAGAGATACAGTGAAGAACGGAATGAGAATTGCGCGATTAGACCAAGAGAAGAAGAAGAAAGAGCGATAATAGGCGTAAATGTCCCTTTAGGACTTGTAAATGCAATATTATCATCTTATTATTATCGTCGGTTTTATATCGTGGTAGAGTAATTATCATTATTATCGTTATTATGCGACTCTAATGTTGTTATCTTCATTATTGTAAATTTTTATTTTATTGCTTTTATTTGTTGCAATTTTTGCAGACAGGTCGCAAGAAGTATGTGATATAGAAATTTTGTGATATAGAAGTTAAATGTCTTTGTCAAAAGCACTCGCTCTCTCCTCTTTTATCTTTAGCCAGGGCTGTTCATTTAGGACCTCAACGCGACTTCCGGAGGCCTCGCGTCGGCATCGTCGATGAAATTAAGCGGTGAGATTGCTCGAACGTCGTCTTCACTAATAAACGCACAATTTTCTCAACCTTCGATCCCCTGCTTCTTTTTTCACGAGGATATCTCCCTTAAAATCTGTTTAGGGCGGAGAGGTAAGGGCATGCGATTAGATCCATTATTTGCACAGCTGCGATCGTGAGCATGAATCTCTCCCAATCTTTGCATATTTTAGCTTTTTAGTTTTTATTTTCAAGACAATCGTAAATCCGTTCAATGCAACGTGTGCAGGTAAGTAATCTACGAATCCTTAAGTAAATTCCAATTTATCTTGTTACAGTGTACAACATATAAATCCAGTCATTAAATTTTACCATTCGGAAAAATACACTCAAGAGGAAGTCTCCTGAAAAAATGTCAGAAATATTGCCACAAATTTTAAATTAATATCTTTATTTATTACATTGATTTTTGTAATTGATTTTTATTTTATGCCAAGAAAACTCAACAATGGTTAATAAAAAAACTTAAAAACATTCTTCATTGAAAAATTTCGAAACTAACTGACTTCAAGATTTATTTACGCGATGTAGAAGCAATATTTTATTGTTTTCATTTAATATTTAAAATTCTGTGTTTAATTTCACAATATTTTTATTAAACTACCTGTCATATTATTTCACAACCTGAAAATCTATTTTATCATGTAAATTGCAAAATAGATAGATAGGTTGACTGTAAATATCATCATAGTCGACAGCGTTTTTCCATACAAAATTACTGATAACAGAACTTACATGCGTAATGCATTATGCGTCAGCATTTGTCCATGAAAAGTCGTTTGTATTATTAGTTCTACTAATGCTGCCAACGAAGCAAGTTTGTTGCAAATTTGAGTACGTACGTTTTCAATAAAAGATATTTCTTTATTAGATTAAATAAAATGTAAAATAAAATAAATTCTTAATTTATCGAACAGAAATAATAAGAAAAAAACGTAAATTTAAAATATTGCAAGCTCTGGTTTTAAACATCATTTATAACTTTTATTGTTCAGAATCAAGTTAAAAGTTAGATTGTCAAAAAATTGCATTTGATTAATTATTTCTGCAAAATACTTCTACCAAAGGAGAAAAAGAAACAATACACTTCGACAAAATAATTGTTTCCAACAAAGTAAGAAACAAAACAAAAATCGACAGCCGACACACCAGATTCAATATTTTAAGATTAACTGTTCACAAAATGAGAGTATCAATTCTGATCCTTTGTCTAACCGTGGTGTACGGATCCTGCCGAACAATTGGCGAAGAAAAAATTGATTTCATAAAAAAGACAAGTAAGTTTTAAAATGTATTATAAGAATATGATTAAAATATATAACGTTTCTATTTAAAAATGTTTTAACTTATCATGGAATTACATTGTCATACTTTTTAAAGTTGTAATATTAAATATCATCCTAAGAGATTATAAATAAATTTTTTTTAGTTACGAACGTTTCTATATGAAGTATATACTCTGTTAAATTATTATAATTATTTTTCTACGCTTTTTTTGATAAATTAATCAAAATTTTACAATATTTAAACGACATAATCCAACATAAATACAATATATATGTTTTATATAAATAAAATATAAATATAAATTAATATAGAATTTAATATTTGTATCACAATAATTATTTTGTTATTATTATTATTATTATTATATAATTTTTAGATAATGAAGATTATAAACTGGACTATGCAAATGTACCTTTCGAAAAATCTCTTTCAAGGCAGAGAAGAGATAGTCTATCGCAGATAGTTTCATCGATGAAGTACAATGTTAGAAATGAAATTCCAGATTTAATATTCTTTGTATACGGTATAATGACTGGGCAAAAAGATTTGTGCCCCAAAAACATATCTAGCGAAGACTTAATCGAATCGCTTATGAATATTACTACAGAACCGATCAAAACGTTCAAAGCCATTGTGTGCTACATACAAGTAATTGGAAACCAAAATTCAAATGCATTACTACAAGAAGCAATTAATTTCTTTAAGAAATTCTTGCCGAAATTGAATGAAATAGCGGAAAGTAGTTCTTTTCCTTCCAGCTTGGAGCCTATAATCTATATACTTAATATAATTAATTTAATATTACAAATGTACGGATATGGTTCATAAATTTAAATTTCTATTCTTAAAAGCAAATTAAAATTACGAATTTATAATGCATTTCAAATAAATCTATCTATATAAATCTTTATCTTGATTATCTTATGGCTTGTTAGTTTAAAACAAGATTAATAATAATAATAATAAATGTTTGTTACAACGTCATCTTGAATGAATGTACGTATAGGAAAAAGTTATTCAACAAGATAAAGCGTTAAAAATTCTTAGATGAAATTAATGTAACACAAAATGTGACAAATTATTATCTATAAATAATTTAAATAATATATTTATGCAATTCTTATTTTGTTTTTGATTTTATTTATTGTATTCGATTATAATTGATATTATTGATATTATATATTTACATTATTGTTATTATTATTGATATTATGCTAGATTATATCCTTTCGATAAACCTTATATGCTAAAAAAAATGATGAATAAAATATGAATTCAAAATGAAAGAATAAAATAAGTATGAAAATCTTTTATCTATTTTTATTCTCTTGTATAATAAAAAATCATCACAAATATATATGAGATAGACTTATAAAAATATTATTTTACAAATATATCTACATTTCCAAGAAAATAATAATCATACAGAATAAGCATTGATCACATTTAGTAGAATTTTATTTTACAATTTTATTGAAAATTTTCTCTATGTTTGCTGTGATATCAAATTATACTTCTAAATCAGGAAGTATAATCTATAATCTCAGCACATATAAAACATTCAATAGTTGACAAAATAAACGTTCTGCTGAACGTTGACTGTTAATATAGATAAATAATCTTCATTGTTTAAAATAACTTATTTAATAAATAATATTTGATAAATCTAAAATCAATCAAAATCTGAAAAAAATCGAATAAAAATAAAAAAAAGGATTAAGAAATATGTGGCATGCGCGAAGCGCGTGCTCGATAATATTCTTGTATTACATAAAAACGATGAAAAAATTTTAAATGTATGTATAAAGAAAAAAAGGACTGCTAATACAATTTCTCGATCAAATTATACATAGATTTACAATACTCTTCTCATCAAAGAACTTTCGTTATTCTCATCCGTTTGGTGAGAAGATATGATCATAGTATAATATACAACTATATTTAATGCGTTGAAATAAAATGTAATAATAATCATATACCTTATACTATATACTTTACTTAAATTCGATTAAAATTTTGCAAAACAAATTTTATTTTTCTATAAAAAAACATGCTTTGTAAGCTTGCATATTGCGTTTTCGTAAAATAATAAATATTTATTCTTCTTTTACAAAGTAATTAACAGGTTACAAAAATTGAATTAATAGAAATGCCCAGTGTTCTCTAACAAAAAGAAAAAGAACACTGATACACATCGCTGAATTGCTTATGACTCACGTAGTGAATCATAAGCAACCAACATTAAATTTGTAAACATAAAATGTATTAAACCTATAAATATAACTTATCTATTGATGATAAATAAGATATCTTCTGTAATCAATACGTATAGCATAGATTCTATTGTTTTATTATCTTTATAATTTTTTTATAATAATTACGTATTTTTGTAAAGACTAGTTTAATCTAGACTGAACTTAACATTTGCTTTTGCTTTTCTTTTAAAAAAAAAATAAATTGCACACGATTTGACATTGAATCTTAAGATATTATAAAATTTTCTACTATATTATAAACTGACTTATATACAGTTGGCAACATAGAAATTCTATGCGTGGTAATAGAAATTCACACTTATAATGTATATTATTATAAAATAAAATAGATAAAATATTACAAAAATCTTAAAAATTGTAAAAGATCTTTAAAAAAACAATGCAATTTTTAAATTAGAGAACTTAAACTTTATTATTAACATCTGACAGTGAAATAGAATAGATATTTTATATGTACATATAT